CTCCCCCTTGTGCCCTTGCACCGGCAGCGGCCCCACCAAGTCCATGTGGACCAGCTCCAACGGCTTTTTGCTCCTGCCAGCCACACTATGGAAGGGGAAACGGGTGAACTTTGAAAGGAGGCAAATTTCACAGTTATCATCGGGTGGTTGTCCGTTCAGCTTTAAGCCCTTAACGGCTCCATCCTTCTCCAGCTGCTTCAGCAAAGGCATTGCCACATGCCCCAAACGTCGGTGTGCAGTTGCCCAATCTGTCTCCCCAGATCTGGCCGACACTTTCACACCAACCCCTCCAACGGCGTTGCACTCCCCCTGGGATGCAGACCCCTCTCCAGCCTGCCCCCCACCGTGCCATGCCAGCGCCGGCAGCTGCCACATAGATCTGTACACGTCCTTGCTCTCGTGCAGATCCCAAAGCACCCGATTGCCCAGCTTCCCCTTATAAGTGCGAGCCCCATCCGTGTTGGTGTTCACCCCAGCCTTGCCAAGCTTACGGAGGGAGATGAGGTTGGCCTTCAGGTCGGGGACGAGGAGAACGTCGTGCAGCACCACCGGCTTGCCATCCGCTCCCTTAAATGCAGCTCGTCCCGCACCAGCCACCTTCAACATGTGTCCAGAGGCAGAGCACACCTCATTAATCGGTGCAGCGCGTACGTCGTCCAGCAGGTCCTTGCGCGGCGTCATTGTCCAAGCAGCGCCTGTGTCCAACACCCAATAGTCCAGGGGGTGCAGCTCTGCTCCAGCCTTAGCAGATGCGTCTCCTTGCTCCCCCTTGTCTCCCATATGGAAGAATTGGCCCGCGGTGCGCTCCTTCTTCTTCTCCGCACCGCCGTTGCCCTTCGGGTTGTTGTCGGACGAATCAGCGACCATGTTGGCGCCGTTTTTCTGGTTCCTCCGCGCGCCGCCATCCTGGTGACGATTCTGGGGGGTCCATCCATCGGGTTTCTTATAGCACAAAAACCAGGGGTGCCCTTCCTTCTCACAATACCAGCAACTCCCTTTCATTTTGCCACCAGCACCCGACTTGCCCCCACGTCCAGATTTCGCACCGCGACCCCAACCGGTACCTCCTTGTTGGTCGTTGGAGTCGTCGTCCTTCTTTGCACCGCGTCCAGCACCACCGAAGCCACGTCCTTTGCCACGTCGGCTCCCTTGCATCCCGTAGCCGCTGCTGCCGTCGTCTCCACCCCTCAGTTGGCGGCGACGGAAGTCCTCCTCCAGAATCTTCGTCCGCACCCACTCGAGCGTCCACAAGCTCTGGTTCTGCGGCAGGCTCAATCCGCTCGTAAATTGAAGCCAAGATTCCGGCAGCAGCGAGAGCATCTTCAAGCACTTTGTTTGCTCCGGGTAGGTAATTCCTGCGGTCGCCAATTTCGCGTAGAGGTCGCGCAATTTGTCCAGGACAGGTTGCACCGGCTCTCCCTCGCTCAGGCGCAACGCGGACAGCTCCCTCTCCAGCATCAATGTTGCAACAACGGAGGTCGGGGCGTGCAGCTCCTTCAACACGGTCCACGCCTTCGGACCGCACTCAACCTCCGGCAGCAGGTGCATGACGTGGTGACGCTGGTTCAGCTCCAAACTCTGCGACATCAAGTAGTAGCCAGCCGAGGCGCGCTCGTCCCAATCTTCCTGAAGGGCGGGGTCACTCGGTCTAGGCTCCTCCCCAATCATTAGTTTCAGCAATCCGATTTGACGGAAATAAAGTTGCATTTTCCAGGCCCAATCATCATAGCCCTCACCATTGAACTTCTCGACGGTGAAGTTTTTCAGCACCTCCTTGATCAGCGAGCCCTGGCTTGTTCGCGCTCCCCTTGGCGCAGAAACACCAGAATCATGGCTGCCGCTACGATCTTGGGCTGAAGATTCACCAGCTACCGCCGAGGTGTTGCCCGCCATAGCTACCTATATCGAGGATCACTATAACGCAGCTCTGATACCAGCTTGTTGGTGTAAGGGCCTAATAAACTCAAGCTATTAAGACTTTATCACACTTAAAACCTCTCCTCGGGGTCACCTCCAAGGGTCCTTGGGTGCCTGGTACAAGACCAGCCCCTATCCTCGGGTCCGAGTTTGTAGAGAGAGGGATCAAGAGGGACTTAGTCAAAACAGCAAGAGTACCTTGAACGTCGCGCAGCGTATCGTGCAGACCGTCGATCGGATTAAGCTGAGAATTTCCTATATCGAAGCTCACTCTAAGAGCTTTAAAATAAGCCAAGTTGCCTCGCGAAAAGTTCTGCCATTACGAAGTTATGGCTCGGACAGCGTTAGCCTAGCGTTGGAGTGCTAGCGTACTAGCGTTGACTCGGGTAGCATTCCGCCGTCGCACCGCGTAGAAAAGAAATTCCAGCAAGGAAGGAATTTGCTTGAATCAATTTCACTATATTCAGGTACAAACAGAGAAGGAATAAATAGTTCTAGCTAGCAAGGACCTTGGGAATCAACCTGGGAATAACCAGGGATGATCCCAAATAATTCCAAGCAACAGAACCAACCTGGCTGGACAAAATAGCAGGTGATAGGTTGGTGAACAACCTCTGGTTCTGTTTTTCCAACCTGGGAAAACAACAACCAGGTTCAGGTCCTAAAAACAGAACCTGTTTTGTCTTTGCCCAACCAGCCAAATGCTGGTTCCGCTGGTTTCCCCTGGCCCTGTAGCATGCAGATACAGACAAACAACATCCAACCTTCACCTAAATTGTACCCCTATAGTGCCTGCCCTGCTACACTATAGTCAACCAAACAAAACAGTACAATTTCGAGTTGGATAGAACTGAATCTGCGCAATCAAGTAAGTTGAACCGCAAAGCTTCCATCTTGGGTTCCTTTGCGAGCTCGTCCTTTCTGCTTGTACTGTTCATAGCGCGTACAATGTTATGCCGAAGCGCACATTTTGCGAGTACCTGCAAATGCTTCAAGCGAAAATTGCGAAAGCAAACAAACACACAAACATACCATTCACACGCAAATGCATTCGCACACGCATACTCGTACAAACAGACGGCAGGATGTCGTGCAATGTGAATTTGCACCCAACACTTGTTGGCTGCCTCATGTACCTGATGACCTGCATACGACCTGACCTTGCATACCCTCTTAGCATCTTGGCACGCTATGTTGCTTCTGGGAGGCACCGACCAGAGCACATGGCTGCAGCGAAGAGGGTGTTGCGCTACGTATGCAGTACGTCGGGCATGGGGCTAGTGCTTGGAGGGCGACGTCGAGTGGTCCTCACAGGTCACGCTGACGCTTCTTGGGCTGACGACCAGGCTCTGCAGCGGTTGTCACAGGGTTACACCTTCAGCCTTGGCTCCGGCTCTGTTTCGTGGCGGTCCACCCGCTCGTCCTCTGTTCTCAGCTCCAGCTGTGAGGTAGAGATCTACGCAGGGGCCATGGCTGCATAGGAGCTACGCTGGCTCACCTACCTGCTGTCTGACCTAGGAGAGCCGCCTTGTTCTCCTCCAGTTTTGTACGTAGACAACAAGGCCATGCTGGCCTTGTGTCGGGAGCAAAGACTGGAGCACAGAACAAAGCACATTGCTCTCCGCTACTTCCTTGCTCGTGAGCTGCAGCAGCGTGGTCAGCTCCGCCTCACCTACGTGGCCTTTGAGGCCAACACTGCTGATATCTTCACCAAGGCCCTTCCGCCTTGTGATCATCAGCGCTTCTGTACTTTGCTAGGTCTTGTGCCTACCTGGCCTCACTTGCTCACTTCTTGATCTTGTTTGTACTGTACTCTTTCTATACCTGCACTTGCTTGTTTACCTTTATATATATGATTTTGCATGTGAACTGGCCTTGTGGCCTTACTCTTGTGCTCGGACTGTGTGGTGACTTTGTGATCCACCCTGAGCTTGCTTTGCTTTGCTTGATTGGTCTTGTGACCACTTGTTCTCCCCCACTTTGCCTATGGGGGTGTGTCAGAACATTATAGCTTATACATCTGTGTAGGCTGTAGTGGGGTAGCCCATAAGGGGTACAACCCAATTAGGGCTAGTACTTGTACCCAACTGTTTTAGAGTTCAATCATTCTCGTTATAATTATCACATTCGCCACAGGAAAGTTTTGAACGCAATGAGGAACTGTGCTAGGATGAGCTGAAGAATCTCAAATCGGGAGGAGGGCGAATCTTGAAACTTGTATTCACAGCGCGCGTTCCAAATAGCTCTAACAGATGCCCCAACCAGAAGGCTCCAAGGGGCCACCTGGCCAGCTCTGGAGGCGAGTGGAAAGAGCAAGAGCTCAAGAGGAGGAGAGAGGTGGATGTCAAATTATATGTATGCTATATATGTTTAGGCTGTAGTGGGGTAGCCAATGTGGGGTACAGCCCTTTTTAGGGTTTCGTACTTGTACCCAACACTTTCCTAGTTCATTCATTCCTGCCTAGCATTTAAGACATGGTTTCAGAGCAGTAGGTCCGTAGGACCGTCCTTCTTCGGGCCCATCTACCGTTGCGGTTACCACGCTGCCCCATCTGCCTTGCCTGCGCTGCGCCACACGCGCACGCCCTACTTTGCCTGCGCTGTGTGCCCGCGCGCACCACTCTAGCAGCCCGCTGCTGCCCCGCGCGCCGCTTCAGCCGCCCGCGCAACCCGCTGCTGCCCCGCGCGCTGTGTCCGCCGCCCGCGCAGCCCGCTGCTGCCCCGCGCATCGCCTCCGCCGGTCGTGCAGCCCGCTGCTGCCCCGCGCATCGCCTTTGCCGGTCGCGCAACCCGCAGCTGCTCCGAGCGCCGCCTTAGGAGCCAGCGCGCGGCCCGCTGCTGCAGCGCGCGCCGCCTTAGGAGCCCACGCGCGGCCCGCTGCTGCCCCGCGCGCTGCGTTAGGAGCCTGCGCGCGGCCCGCTGCTGCCCCCCGCGCCGCCTTAGCAGCCCACGTGCGGCCCGCTGCTGCCCCACGCACCGCCTTAGGAGCCTGTGCGCCGCCACTGCAGCTCGTGCGCTGCCTCTGCAGCTCGTGCGCCGCCATTGCAGCCTTCCACGCAATTTCTCTTGCCTGCACTGCAATCATGGCGACGCTTAACGTTCTTGCTTTCGATCTTGGGGGTCGCACGATAGAGTTCGCCACCTGGCTTGACGACCTGCAACTGTTTCTTATGACTGATGCCAAGGACGGTGTTTCACTGTTCGATCACGCGTCTGGCACTGCGGTTTCTCCTGCTGGCACTGCTACTGCTCTTGACTGCTCACAGTGGCAGACTCGCGATGCTGCTGCGCGCCTCGCTATTCGCAACCATCTGCCGATCACAGAGCGCGCGCATTTTAGCCAGCACAAGACTGCCAAGGCACCGTACGACGCTGTAGTTGCCCACTACTCTTCCCCGGTCACTGCAGCCCTAGGTCGCCTTATGCTACCCTACCTGTTCCCCGACTTGTCCTCATTCACCACTGCTTAGGACCTCATCTCTCACCTGCGCACTAGCAACGCTCGCTTTCGTTTTGCCCTCTCCGACGATTTCCTCGCCCAGAATCCCCTAGTCACCCGCCTCCCTGACACTCTTCGCTCCGTCAGGGACCACTTTCTCGCGCTAGACCCTACCACTCTCACTGTCGACGACTTCGAGAAGCACCTCCTAGCAGCAGGAAGAACATTCTCGTTGTAGGTGCTGCTCGTGGCACTCCTCGCACTCCCCTCTTTGAGGGGTACTTCCCCCTCCCCTCTTGCTCCCTCTACGCCTCCGCTGCTGCTGCTCTCGACTACCTGGGTGCTGAGGAAGTCGGGGCTGCTTCCGCTCCTAGTGGGAAGCGCCTCAGCGCCAGGAGCGGCAAGGGTGGCAGGGGAGGTGGGGGTGGCGGTGGAGGGGGCGGTGGTGGAGGCGGCGGGGGAGGTGGAGGTGGTGGGGGTGGTCGTGGGGGTGGAGGTGGTGGTGGGGGCGACGGTGGCACTGGGAGCGGTGGGGGTGGCAGCGGCGGTAGTGGGGGAGGAGGGAGCGGTGGTGGCAGCGGCGGTGGGGGCTGGGGTGGATCCGGCCAGAAGGGAAGCTCCATTGGTGGCCAGGGACAGTAGCAGTAGCAGCACCCGCCACAGCAGCAGCGTTAGCAGCAGACCCCTTCCCCTCAGCAGCTTCATGACTGGAATGCTGAGCGTGGGGCATCTGGGGGTCCTGTTCGCTGCCCCTATATCATTTGCACAGGCCCCCGCACTGGTCGCCCATGCAACAGTTCTCACACTGAGTATCGCTGCTTCTCTAGGCTTAGCGACGCCTTGCGCGCTAAGTTTCCCGAGGCTACTGAGTTTCTCCACTGGGCAGACCTGTCTAGGCGTGGTGTTCCTATCTTTGATCTTGACTATGATGCAATTCTTGCTGCCATGTATGCATTGACTGTTAGTGCTGAGGGTGACTGCTACTTGTGTATGCCGCCTGACCCAGGTATAGAGTCTGTAGCCCTAGGTGCTAGCGAGTCTGCTCTCCCTGGTACTGCGTCCGCTCAGGCTTTGAACACCTTTACATTTGACTCTAGTGCTTCTTGCTGTTTCTTTTGCGATAGCACCACTGTCACTCCCCTCCGTGCACCTGTCCCAATCTCACTGACTGACCCCTCTGGGGGCCCAGTGCTAGCACGGACCACTACTGTGCTTCCGTGTCCGGCGGTCCCATCTGATGAGCTGTCTGGTCTCCACCTCCCCTCGTTCTCTACGAACCTGGTCAGCACCGCCGTCCTTCAGGATCACTGGGTTGACACCTTTACTCCTACAGGACAGCGTGTGGCGATCTGCACTTGATCTCGGACTGGCCGCCACCTGGCCATGTTCACACGTGCGCCTGGGTCCAGTCTGTACACCCTCACCACTGCATCGCGCTCCACCCCTTTGTCTCCTCAGCTGTACGCGTCCGCTCAGGTAGCTACCCGGTGTGAGTGTCGCAGCCTGACGCACCAGACTCTCCTGTGGCACCACCGCCTTGGTCACCCTTCCCTGCCTCGCCTTTGTGGCATGCACTCTCGCCACCTGGTCTCTGGTCTTCCTAGGTCTTTGCCCTCCCTCCCTCCTGTCAGAACATTATAGCTCATGCATATTGTGTAGGCTATAGTGGGGTAGCCCATAAGGGGTACAACCCAATAAGGGTTAGTACTTGTACCCAATTCATTCATAGTTCATTCATTCTCGTTTCAATTCTCTCATGGTATCGAGCAGGTTCCCTCGTGGGAACTGTTCCTAGGGCCCACCAATTCGACTTTTTTTTCCTGCCCGGAGCGCGCTCAGCCATAGCCCGAGTCGCGCTCCCCCTTTTTTCTCGCCCCGTCGCGCCGCCCTAGCGGCCCTATCGCCTGCCTTGCGGCTCTCGCGCCGCCCTTCCTGGCCCTGACCCGCCGCCCGGCGGCCTCGTCGCCTACCCCGCAGCCATCGCGCCCCCCTTTCCCGGCCCCGATCCGCCGCCCTGCGGCCTCGTCGCCCACCCAGCGGCCCTCGCGCCGCCCTGCGGCCCTGACGCCGCCCTTGTTGGTGTAAGGGCCTAATAAACTCAAGCTATTAAGACTTTATCACACTTAAAACCTCTCCTCGGGGTCACCTCCAAGGGTCCTTGGGTGCCTGGTACAAGACCAGCCCCTATCCTCGGGTCCGAGTTTGTAGAGAGAGGGATCAAGAGGGACTTAGTCAAAACAGCAAGAGTACCTTGAACGTCGCGCAGCGTATCGTGCAGACCGTCGATCGGATTAAGCTGAGAATTTCCTATATCGAAGCTCACTCTAAGAGCTTTAAAATAAGCCAAGTTGCCTCGCGAAAAGTTCTGCCATTACGAAGTTATGGCTCGGACAGCGTTAGCCTAGCGTTGGAGTGCTAGCGTACTAGCGTTGACTTGGGTAGCATTCCGCCGTCGCACCGCGTAGAAAAGAAATTCCAGCAAGGAAGGAATTCGCTTGAATCAATTTCACTATATTCAGGTACAAACAGAGAAGGAATAAATAGCTCTAGCTAGCAAGGACCTTGGGAATCAACCTGGGAACAACCAGGGATGATCCCAAATAATTCCAAGCAACAGAACCAACCTGGCTGAACAAAATAGCAGGTGATAGGTTGGTGAACAACCTCTGGTTCTGTTTTTCCAACCTGGGAAAACAACAACCAGGTTCAGGTCCTAAAAACAGAACCTGTTTTGTCTTTGCCCAACCAGCCAAATGCTGGTTCCGCTGGTTTCCCCTGGCCCTGTAGCATGCAGATACAGACAAACAACATCCAACCTTCACCTAAATTGTACCCCTATAGTGCCTGCCCTGCTACACTATAGTCAACCAAACAAAACAGTACAATTTCGAGTTGGATAGAACTGAATCTGCGCAATCAAGTAAGTTGAACCGCAAAGCCTCCATCTTGGGTTCCTTTGCGAGCTCGTCCTTTCTGCTTGTACTGTTCATAGCGCGTACAATGTTATGCCGAAGCGCACATTGTGCGAGTACCTGCAAATGCTTCAAGCGAAAATTGCGAAAGCAAACAAACACACAAACATACCATTCACACGCAAATGCATTCGCACACGCATACTCGTACAAACAGACGGCAGGATGTCGTGCAATGTGAATTTGCACCCAACACACTCCCCCTCAGCCTGCCGGCTGCATCCCCATCATTCCATACTAGTTCATGCTCATTCCACTCATGCGCACACAACGCCAATGAGACTCATCCGCAAGCCTCTTGGTGAGGAAGTCTGCTGGCTGCTGGTGAGTCTTGATGTAGATCGGATTCACCGTCCCCCTCTTCACCTCCTTACGCAGCCAGTGCCACTTGATACGCATGTGCTTATTCAGCCCATGAAGCACAGCGTTCCTGGCCATCCCAAGAGCTCCCTTGCTATCACAAAACAACGGCGTAGCAACCTTTTGCTCCTGGCCAATCTCCTCCAACAGCCTCTTCAGCCAAATCACCTCCTTCACCCCATGGAACATCGCCATGTACTCTGATTCCACGGAAGAGAGTGCTGTCTCCGTCTGCTTCTTTGACCTCCAACTAACCGGTCCTCCCCCAACTACGCAGATGTATCCTCCCACAGATGAGGAATCCTCCTTCTCAGAGGCCCACGTAGCATCAGTAAAGCAAGTAAGAAAAAGCTTGCCTTCTCCAAGCCTCTCCCCCTTCTCTTTCAGCACCTCAACCCCTTTCTGCTTCACCTGTGCAGATGCGGAGTATTGAACTCCAATGCTTGGGTGAGAGTTCAGATACTTCACCACACGCTCAGCTGCATCCACCTGCTCCTCTGATGGATTCTGCACTACCCTAGCCAGCTGCCCAACCGAGAAAGAGATGTCGGGTCTCGTGTGAACTGCTGCATACAAGAGGCTGCCCACCAAGGACTGAAATTGCTGCTGCTCCTCGGCTTCAACCCCTTCATCCTCTGCAGCTTTCACAAGCTTGAATTCTGCTGGCAGGGGAGTTGCAACCTTGCGCTCATTCTCAATTCCGTACTTCTCCCCAAGCTCCTTGATGAACTTCTCCTGGTGCAGCTTCAACCACCTGTGATCCAGATCCCTCTCCACGTGCATCCCGAGGTAGTACTTTACCTCCCCAAGGTTCTTGCACTTGAAGTTCTCCATCAGCTGCTGCTGCACCTTCTGGATCTCCTTCATGCTGCTGCTAAAGAGAAGAATGTCGTCCACATAGACCAGAAACAGCACCAGCTTCTCCCCCTCCCCCTTGAGAAAGAGGCTCTCATCACAGCTGCTGGTCTTGAATCCCATCTCCTCTAAAACAGCTGCCAACTTCTGGTACCAGCAGCGTGGCGCCTGCTTCAAGCCGTAGATGGACTTTTTCAGCTTGCACACCCTGCCCGTACCATCCTCATACCCAGGTGGCTGCGTCATGAACACCTCCTCCTCTAAAATCCCGTTGAGAAATGCCGTTGATATGTCCATCTGGATAATGAACTTCCCACTAACGGCTGCATCTGCCAACAAGACACGAAGGGTAGGGGGTTTGGCAGTGGGAGCAAAGATCTCATTGAAGTCCCGCTTCTCCTTCTGCATAAACCCCTTAGCCACCAACCTACTCTTGTAGATGGTGACCTGCCCCTTGTCGTCAGTCTTGATCCTTAGCACCCACTTGCATTGTACCGCTTTCTTTCCCTCAGGCAGCACCACTAGTTCCCAAGTCCCATTCTCCAGCAGGCTCTGGTACTCAGCATCCCTGGAAGCTAGCCATTTGTCCCTATCTGGTCCAGCTAATGCCTCCTCCATGCTAGCTGGTTCCTCTGGTGCAGGGGCAAGAAAACAGTACGCAGGTTGATCCTCCTCATCCGGGTCATAGCCATGCGGTAGAATCAGCAATGCCTCCTCGGTCCCAAGCTGCTGCTCCGCTACATCAGCTCCTGCAGTCAGCTTTTTAGTAGCCATACGGGTACGTCCTGGCCTGGAGACGGGTGTCTCCCATCCCTTCATAACGACACCCTTCGGCTTCTTAGTTTTCCCCTGCTGCTGCTCTCCTCCCTCGGATCCAGCAGCTCCACTAGTGCTACCGCTAATCTCCACACCATCACCTCCACCAGCAGGTGCCTCCTGCACCTTCTCTTGATCACCACCCTCTGCAGCTGCCTCCTCTCCCTCCTCCCACACACTAGGAGTCAGGTCCAGCTGCATGGTAATCTGCTCCATCTGCTGGGACACCCTGGCCTCCGGCTGTTTCTCCCAGCTCCCATACATCATGCCCTCAACAAACTTCACATCCCTGCTGTCAAACAACACACCCTTGGAAGGCTCCCACAACAGCCATCCCTTGCTCTCAGCAGCCAGCCCCAAATGCACACACCAGATTGCACTCGCCCCCAACTTACTGCGATAGGTCTTGGGAACGTGGGCGACTGCCATGCAACCGAACACCCTCAGCATGTCCACCGGCGGCTTCCTCCCAAGCCACCTCTCCAACGGCACCCACGAGTCATCCCCAACCTTTGTGAGTACCCTGTTCCTAGCGACGGTAGCGTGCCGAACAGCATGGGGCCACATGGAGTTGCCCAGCCCAGATTCTATGAGCAGCGCCCGAGCTGTCTCCAGAATTGTCCGGTTCGCCCGTTCTGC